TCAACTTCTCAAAAGGTGAAAGCCACCATTTTAAATGATATATAGAAATTTATGTATGATTTAGGGGTTTACTTACTTACCAGAGTCCATTTATTTTTAGGTGTATTTTTATTTTGTCACATGAAATTTTCCAGTGTTTAGTCATTCATATAAAAACTCAAGATTATAACATCATTTTTCTTGCATACCAGAAAGAGGACTGCATTTAGCTTTCCTTTTGAAATTTTACTTTCTATTGATTATTAACAGTTTGTCACTTCACCAAAAATAGCATGTTCGCCTCTATGCAAAGAAGTAGTTCATATTTTTCTTTAGACCTAAGTTGTGGGTCTTTTTTTCCAATGCCTGAAAATAATGTAGTAAAATGTGAATTATCAACAGGATGACAATATTAGAACTTTATCTTAAGACATTTTAGTATGAAAGTGTAAAAATGCAGATTACCAGGACACAAGACTTTCATTCCATGGGCCATGGGAATGAGAGGGAGCAGGGAGTTGGAGTGGGATGTTAAACTTGATTGACTAGTGTATATTCTATTTTGCTTACCTGTGCTAGAATTCTTCCTAATTCTAGGCACCTGGTCACCCTCTTCTTAGAGACTTTTCCTTAAAAAAAAAAAAAGTGTAATTGTCAATTATTTTTCTGCCTGTTTGAAATATAAACCTTTTAAAAAGCTTCTTGACAGCTGAAAAATCCAGGAATATCTTTCGAAAGATCCTGGAGCCATCATTTAGAAATGTAAGCATAAAGGAAGTTAGGGATCTGTCTCCTAGCTTCATGGAAGGGTAGGAACTAACAGCAGTAGGCCGTTGCTTCAAATTTTAAAATTGCCCCTCCCATCCCAAAGAGAAGGGAAAATTTATTTTTTCTTCTCATAAAGCCAATTAGTAAACATAAATGGCCTATGAACCCACCTTCCCATCCCATCTTTTAAAAACTCTTAAGCTCTTTGTTCTTATGGAGTTGAGCTAAGACTGAGCGTGGCCTCTCTCTTTCCTATTGCAATAACTTTGAATACAGTCTCCCTTGCCCATTTAATTTAATCTAGTGTGATTTTTACATTATACGGTTGTAATGTTTTGTTTCCAAATACCATTCTTTATTGTCTTCCAATAAGATCACAAATTATCTCCTAAAAGACCCTCACTTTTAGCTATTATTAATTGACCTCTTTAAGAATATTTACTGATAAACATACATTCCTTAAAATTAGATCATAGTCCTTTCATCTTTCCTAATATTGTTCCTGATTTGGTAATTCTTTAGTCATCTTGTAACTCTTGGTAATTTCTCCTCCATTCTCTATCTACACATCTTTCTTTGGTTAATGTCAAATATGCTTCAACTTTCAATTATGGGTTGACTATTCATTATACAAAATGCTTGGAACCTGAAATGTTTTAAATTTAGAATTTTTTTTCAGATTTTGGAATATTTGCATACACAGAATGAGACACATGTTGGGCATGGAACTCAAGTCTAATATATTTGTTTTATATGCACTTTATATGCATTTATACAGTACTTTTATTGCACCCATTTGTTTTCTTACTGTAATTTATTATGAGATCAGGTGTGGAATTTTCACCTTATAGCATCTATTGATACTCAAAATGTTTTGGATTTTGGATTTCATATTCTTGGATTATAGATGCTAAATTGTATGTGCTTACACCTCTGAAATATTATTTGTCAGGTCATAATCCTCTTGAGTTGATAGAATGTCTTTTCAGTTGCTTTATTGAATTGGCAGCTTGATGCCTCTAGGGCATCTTGGAACCTTAAATTATGTTGAACACCACCTTGTAACTTTTTGGATGTTCCTTTACTGGACAAGTGCACAACTTTTCACAGAGATAGCCAAGCTAATAACCTGGGTATCAATTCACATCATTCATTTACTTATTAAGTGCAAAGGTCCCTAATAAGTTTTATCCTGTCAAAGAACATGAATAGTATTTACATAATCTCATAGGGTTTTAACAGACCTTGTATCTTCTTTCTAATGATGGTCAGGGAGTGAGATGGAGTCATACAAGTACAGCTTGAAAAACCTAACCCACAGAGGGTGAAGATAGTAACTTTCATACTGAAATTTATGGTTCCTACCACTTGCTACTCAACTAAGTACTCAGGAATAAGAATACGGTTGAAGGAAACAGGTTTATTCAAAGCAGGCCCTGCCTGAAGAAGATAGAGGAGCCTTTCCACCTCAAATCTCTATTTTAGGGTGGGGTCAGGATACAAAGGGTATATAGTGTGGGTGTACAAATATATGATTGAAAAGGGGTTATGGTAATACAATGGGTAGGGGTTCTAGTCAAGTAGGGGTCTTCCTCTCCAAAGCTTCTGTTCTCCTCTCCTTCCTCACACAGAGAAGCTGGGCAGACTATCTTCTTGAACCAGCATCTGCATTTTTCTTTCAGAGAGACACTATTGCTTTTCTGAGGCCTCTTTAGTAAACCATGTGTCCTTAAAAGATTAGGGAAGGGAGGTGAAAACAATTCTGTTAAAGACGTCTTTCCAGGGAGTTGCTCTGTTACGACTTGGTTTTTCTGGTTTTATTCTGGTTATTGTAGTTCTTTACATTGCTGTGGATAAAACTCAGGGCCTTGCACATGCTAAGCAAGTGCTCTACCACTGGGCTACATTCCCTGCCCAATGACTTCGTATTAATTAGTTGGTTTTTGATTTATTAAAAGGCAAGCTCAAAATATGATGATTAGTCTATAACAACATCAGTTTATTAATGGGTATATGCTCTATGGCAGGGCCAATTTTTGGAGGAAGAGCTAGATATATTTTTATGTTTTATGGGCCAAAATGCAAGACAGGATATTATGTAATCCCTTATATAATCATTTAAAATGTTATCACTTAAAAAAGTAAAAAAGAAAAAATCAATCTCCACTGTTATATAAAAGAGGCAGGAGCCACATTTGGTTTGCAAGATATAGTTTGCAAACTCATATTACAAATCAGAGCATTAAATTCATAGTGTAATGAGACTAAATTTTTTTTTAATAATTCTCAATTCATATGTCATGTAATGCCAATCATAGTATATATACATGTGTGCTTTTTGTGTTTAGATTTTTTCTTTGGACACAGTAATTTTAATTTCTAGATTTTAATTTTTATTCTTAGTGTTTTAATTTCTTGGTAGATGAAGTTGCTAAAGGATTATGTAATTATGTACTTGCATTTTTACTGTGTTGCATGTGAGCAACTGATCATCAGATGGAAAACGAGATGAATTATATTTATTTTTTGTCATGAAGAGAGAAGGTTGTGTTAATTGGTGGATGCTCCAAAAAATGGCCATATTTGAACCTATCACTTGATCGCCTTATTTATGACATAAAAGTCTTTCAGGAGATAAAAGGGAATTAAAGCAACTTTTACTAAAAGCACTGACTCTGCACTTGGGCCTGCAGATTCTCACTGTGTAACTAAGAGCAGGATAAAACCTGACATCTCTGCCTTCATTTTGTATGTCTCCTTTATTACCTTACAGTTTATGCTGGGTTGCTTCTCAGATCTGCACATAGGAATGTTAATTATTTAAAGAATGTGAAACAAAGCTTATTAGCTCTAAATTAACCTAATCTGCTTTGTCCCCCTTCAAGATTGAGGACAACAATTTAAGAGTAACTCGGGTATTTTCAAGATTTGTAGGGACATTAAACTACCAGCTTTTTAAAATGAATGTTCCAGACTCCTGGAGAGGTGTCTGGATATTTCTGATCATTGCCTTAAACCTATAGTAATCTTGAATTGCAGGAACAGCAAAGCCTGGCAGACAAATCACCCCAAACTGATCATGGGATCAGTTCCCCCATGACTAGAACTGAGGCTGCTCTGAAAGCAGGAGCAATCATCTCATGGGATCCAGATTGCCCTCATAAACAATAAAGACTTCTCTGGAGCCACCTCTCAGAACCAGATGAGATATGAGCAATAGGACCATAGTCTGACCAAGATGACCTACCTGCATGGCTAGCTGTGTAAAACCATGAAAGTCCCCAACTCTTGCCTTCGTTCCTCTTTTCTATAAAATCTCAAAGTTTTAGTCCCTTAAGAATAGATCTTTGCTCACTGTACCCTTATCTGTTCTTCCCAGCATGCTATGATGATTAAAGTTCTTTTCCTGCCCTTCACCACTGCTCATCTCTATGATTGGCATATTGGGATGAGTGACTGACTGTACCTGGTCTTTTGGAATCCCACATAGCTGGGGACCTCTCCCAAGGACTCTGGTAACAAGGAGAGGTACTTAAAAGTTCTCTGTTACTATTTCCCCAGTTGTAAGACAAGTAGACTTCATTTTCTTGAGTTAATGAAGCTCCATAATAAGGATACCTTGGCAGTGCAGGAGAAATATTCTCAGCAGTAGTGCAATCAAGATTTAGGAAGACCCGGAACTTTGTTCATGCTTGTGAATCAGTAATTCATATTGTCTATCAAAAGCTCTGTTGGAACTGGGCGTGGTGGCACACACCTATAAAACCAGTGGCTCAGGAGACTGAGACAGGAGATTCACAAGTTCAAAGCCAGCCTCAGCAAAAGGGAGGTGCTAAGCAACTCAGTGAGATACTGTCTCTAAACAAAATTCAGAAAAGGGCTGAGGATATAGCTTAGTGGCTGAACGCCCTTCAGTTCAATCCCTGGTACCCCACCAAATAAACCAAAAAATTTCTGCCCTGTTGGCTCTGCCCTGATTCAGCTCCTCCCTGCCTCCTTGCCACTTGTCCTGCCTGCTTTCTTTGGGACTTTCATTCCTCAGATTTACTTACTATATTCTTATAGGATGTGTGCTTGGTGGATTGTTTCGTTTTAATTGCTAATCTTGGTAGCTCATATAGAGTGTACTAATCAAGAAGGTAGCCCTCCTTCCCAGCTGGTAAGGAATTGTGATCTGGTTTGAGTATTTGACCTGTTCTCTTCTATAGACCATTTGTGTTAGATTGACTCCTCTGCCCCCTGTCTCAAGTTCATGTCAGAGGGATAATGTGTCAATTTTGTAAAAAGTTTTGAGGGAGCCACATTTTACACACTATCATGCAAACCCAAGTATCACACTTAGGAATCACAAAAGGATCAACTTTTGTCTTTTAAAGACAGTCAAACATCCATTTTTATAAGCTAAAATGCTTATTTATACAAAAGGATAGTCATTAAACTAAAAGGACATGTTATGATTTGAATATTGTTCCCACCAATGGAGAATTAGGTCTGAATCATAATTATAGATTTCTCTAAATTTCTTCTGTTTTAATTTCATTTTTTTTAACTATTGGGTTGTTTCATGACTGGCATTTATTCAGAAAGGAAACAGAGGCTAGGTCCATGATTCCTGACTCTATGAATTCAACAAGTTTATTTAGATCCATTTCACTATTTTGGATGGTCACTCAGAATGATTTTTGGCCACTTTGTAGGTCAACCCAATTATATTGCAGAGCTAGTCCAATAATCATTTGTAGATAAGAGGAAAATGACTGGACTCAAGCAACAGTGACAGATCAGATGGACGTGCCCTTACTATAACACTGTTGATCCTATTGGAACAGGAAGTTGAATTCTCTTACATTATTTAAATAGCTGAAGAACCTCAATTGTTGCATATTCATAAATTTATAGGTGACAAGCAGAAAAAAGGAATTATAAGGTTAAGTCAATTTAAGATTAAGTTAAATTTTAAATTTACAGCTAAAAATTTACAATTTAGAGTTATCAGTTATATTCTACCCTGACTCTCCATTCGTATACTGCTGTCCTCATCCCTAATACCTCAGAATGTGTGACCTTATTTGAAGGTAGGAACTTTATAAGTGAAATAAAGTTAAAATAAAATAAGTTCTTTAGGATAGGCTCTAATCCAATATGACTGGTGTCCTTACTTAAAAAGAAGAAATTTGAACACAGAGACATGCATAAAGGGAAAACTCTGTGAAGAGTCATAGAGAAAAGACTCAGGTAGGGAGGCCTGGAGCTCCTCATCCCACACTATCCTAAGAAGGAACCAACTCTGTAAACACTTTCATTTTGGCATTCTACCTTCAGCACTGTGATATAATACATTTCTTTTATTTAGGTGACCCAGTTTGTGGTACTTTGTTATAGCAGCCCTAGCAAACTAATACACAAAATATCCCTGATTTTACAATCATTGGCATCTACTAAATTGTTTTAAAAGTTGAAACTATAATATATCTCTATGCTTCCCCCTTTGGAATCAGAATTGCAATCTATTTCTTTTGAAGCAAGTTTAGTGTCAAATACAAAGGGCCAGGTTCAGTTCTCACTCTAGGCATTCAAAATTATAACTGAACTTTGGGGATATCAGTGTCGTTTAGGATTTTTTTTCCAACCACCTTTGCTTAATTATAAACCTTACTAGTGGTGACTAACATTTCCTGCATGTCTCAAATTCAATTTATCCAAAAGGACAAGTAAGTGGTTGAAAAAATCAGCAGAGTAGAGGAAATTTGTACTTGTTAAAATTTAATACCTATTATTCTTTACCAAACCATCTAAATTTCCTGATGCCAGTCTCAATCATTGAGTATTTGGTCAGAAGAGCATATCATGACCAATCACTCTGTGTAATTACTTACCACTGATTATGAATATAGCAGGTAATCAGACTTTCATAGACCACTTCTCAGTAGAATTCAATTCACTATAAAGACAGCTAAGATTTGGCCAAATGATGCTTTCCCGAAAATTTATAATCTTTATAATTGAGTTATTAAAGAGATAAATGAAACTCAAAAATTTTTGATTTTTCAAGTCTTCTGACAACTTTATTCAACATCAAAAATTTGAGTCTTGAATGAAGAAATAATCAGGATGGTTATAGACATAACAATATACTTTAAAAATGTGATATATCATTTATAGTATCATTCTATGTTCTATTTAAGTTCCAAATTGTTTAACAACAAAATCTTGATTCTGTTAGTTAAATACAAATTGAAACTAACTGATCCAATCTGCTAGCACTTTTAAATACTTCCCATTTACAAATGAGTCTTTTGGTTAAAACTACTGTTCTTTCTTGATATTTCAGACTGTAAAATGGATCTTAAATCAAAGTATGCTATAACACTAAAACTTAGAAAACAAAATGTGTATGCATTTTGTATGCTAAGTAATTTTCTCACTGCCAAAACTATTTTGATGACATATGACTGTCTTAGGCTATTTCCTGTTACTATAATAAACTACCTGAGGCTAGTAACTCATGAAGATGTTTATTTAACTCACTGCTTTGGAGGCTAGAAAAATAGCATGTATTAGTTGAGGGGCCCCAGTGCTGTATCACTTCAAGTGTATGGCATTATACTTGTGAGAGAATGTGGCAGAGGACAATATGAAGAAGGCAGGGAGCTAGCACATGGGGAATGACCACTCTTGAGACCTCTCACTGTATCCTGCCACCTCAACACTGCTATATTGAGGACCAAGCCTAAACACATGAACTTTTGGTAGACAAACCACATCCAAACCATAATAATGACCAAATAAATTCGATAAACATTACTTCAACTGTATGCCTCCTTTTCCCAATCGGTAAAATTAATAAATTTGGTTATATGAATTATAAGGGTAATTCTATCTCTGAGGATTAGAAAGGAAGGGAAGAGGGAAAGGAAGGAAAAACAGAAAAGAAAAAATAAAGCAGAAGGAGATAACATTTTTCCCCCTCATTGCCTAAACTAGGTTTTATTTGATGTTAGAGATTATTATGTAAAACAAGAAAATGACATTCACGTGAATACCAGTGGTTTTTGTTTCTTATGATAATTTTGCTAATGGAAAAATTGCATGGGGTACACACACAAATAAGATACAACCTGCTTCATTCCCCTATTTTTAATAAAAGATTTTGGTTTGGGTTTTATAGAGAAACTGCCCACAGATTTCATATACACCTCAGTCAACCGTGGCATCAGGAAAAAGCCATGCCTGCTTACCAACAAAACTAACTATAACCACTATTTCTGTTAACAACAGGGGGATATCATGAAATACATTTAACCAAACTCATGGCTCAGGCATTGGAAAGTGCTATGAGAATGTGAAGGAATAATGTAGAATTTACTCTGCTTTGAAGATGCTTTGTAAATCAGGAAACCCAAGAAGAAAATGTAACTCTGGGGACAAAAACATAAACACTGTAATTCTAATTATCTAGACAGGAAAAACTGATTTTTAACGGATGATGCCCCTCAGTTTCTCTAGAGAGTCTCTGGAAAAGGTTCCCACATCCATGGCATCCCAGAGAGAGTTTATGCTTTTCTGAGTAAAAATCCCTGGTGAAAGATTTACGGCTTTTCTTAATGGCACCTACCAATCACTCTAAATAATATAGAACCCTAAATTCCAAGCTGTATTATTTGCCAGTAAGTCTACAGGACAAACATAGAACAAGAAGAAAAAGCAGAGTTTAGACAGCACAATTCATTTGAGTTACATGACTCTGTTGTTATTGATGTACAGCGGTTGACTTTCAATACAAAATATAATTTAGACCTTAGAGATCTATTAACCAAAAACCCCACGGTTTGCATTAAATATAGTCATGACATTCAAGAAAGTAAAGTCATATTTATTGGATAAAGCACTAATGACAGATATGATGATGTAAACATCTGAACAATGTATAATAATTGAGGTTTTTTGCCTAATTTTTAAAATCTGCCATAATGCACACTGCCATTGTGCTGTTTTTCTTCAAATGGTAAAATAATTCAAGATACAAATGACTTTTGTTGTGTCATTATTTCCTTTACTAAATTTTCCTTAACAACTAGATTTTATAAAATCCAAGCTGTTCACACAATGGGCAGATTAAAGCCATGGGAAACACAATAACATCCAATAGTTGTGACCATCAAGGGTATTGAGTGCTAACCATGAGAATTAATTTTTCAAAGTGTAACGTGGACAGCTTAACACTTTCCACATGACAGTTAAGTGATGAGTGAGTTTTATTGTAATGTAGTCTTATGTTCACACTCAAACTAATTTTAGCATATTAATATTTGTAAATATATTTTCTTTCATTTGTTACTGAATAGTTGATGTCACCTAGTTTCTCTTTTAAATATAGAGAGATAATAAAGTCAATATAAAATTTCATAAAAGGTAATTAATTACACTGCTTTTTACTTTATACGCTATTGCCAAATGCTCATCTTACTTCAATAATTTGTTTCTAGAACTCAGACAAAGGATGGTGGGGAGGGATATTTTCTGGGGTAAGTGTTTATAAGTAAAGGGCAAAATCTCTAATATGTTCTGCATGAGAATCATCTTATAAAAATAGATTTGGAAATCTTGTCTGCAGATATTATGTACTTCAGTGAGTCAGCTGAAGTGCAGCCTAAGAAGCTGAACTTTTCTCCCCCAGCGTGATTCTGATGAAAACATTCTAGGAGAGCAGTAGGCTAGGAAGTACCATGGAAAACACTAGAAGCAGTAACTCTTGATCAGATGACTCAATCACTAACTTGTTCTCTAGTCATTAATAGAAATGTATCAAATGCCTCTGAACATTGGCTCAGCATAGATTCTCTATTTCTATTATATTCCTGTTATAAGAAATCAAAGTGTACAAACTTCTTAGATTATAACCCAGGGCAAGGTAGATTTACCTTCCAATGCTAGTTATCTCCCAAATGCCCAAATGCTCCTTGATTGTTACTTCAGTGCATAATTCTGATTTTTTTCAGAATTCTTAGATATAAAATTCTCCTCCTGCATCTTCCCTCTCCCTCCCCTCCCTCCCCCCTATTAAATCAAGCAAGTATTAGCCTCCATAGGGCCTGAATATACCTTGTTTGGCTTTTGTCTTTGAGATATTTACCTTATTAAAAAAAATTAAAAGTCTCCCTTACCCAGGAGAACAAAACAAAAGGAAGATCAGAGATTAGCTCATTATAGGATCTTTTCTGTTTTTCTGTGTTTTGCACTAAAGAAAAATAAAACCCCAGATTCCTTTATCTTCTTTGTTTTGTTTTCTCTTTTTTAAGTTGAAAGAAATTAGGGGTAATGGTTCTATAGGCTACAATACCTAAAATTATTTTCTTT